CCCCAAAACCCCAAAACCCCAAAACCCCATCATTTTCTGATTCTAATAAGAAATTTGGAAAGTAGTAAAAATAAATCAGTCGAAAATATAAAATGCAATAAAGCATTAATCGTAAAAGGATAGCCTTAGCTGTAACATCTTTGATAGACATTTGCCTGTTTATCTCCCTCATAGTATTTCTTTCAGTCTTCTTGTATTAAGATCCCCAAGCACGCACTCTTTGGAAGGTAGGACTCACTTGCAACTCAATCGTATTGCTCTTTGAGATTCGAATGAGACTGTTTTGTTGTTTCGGCTACCCTTTGAAAGACATGAGGCGAATCGGATGTTGCATTGAATTCACAAGAATTCGCATGAAACTTGCTGACTACTTCTGCTTTTTCTACATATTCTTCTCTGAGATGATAAATGCCAGTGTTCTAGTCATGAAATAATACAAATCGAATCACGAGAGAATTATGTTTATCACAATTGTGACCATGAATGCAATTTACCTGGTTTTTTGGATTATCTTTACCAAAGGTAAAAGTTTTCATAGATTTCCAAAGGAAAAATAAAGAGCAAATGATTAGTAATCAACTGAAACAGAATCGGTTGACCAATCAAATACCACTGGTGATCATCACTCTACATCATCACAAGGAATCAATACGTCATCATAGTTTGTCCACAAGAGAAAATTGAATAAAAGTGAGGCTATATTACTTGTCAAATAGATGCCTAAAGTCGACTTAGAGAAAGTAAAAGCAAGCAATAAGAATGCTTTTAATTCTTCTCTAAGAGAGTAACTAGGAGGCTTGCATTCTGACAAAGAAGGAATCATTGAATCCAATTGTGCAATATGTCTTGACAATCTGATGAGTGTTGGAAAATATCCAGAAGATATCAAATAAGATATTGAAGCAGGGAGTACGAGTCGAGGTATAGGTGGAGATTATTATCCCTCTCAAGATATTATTGAAGAAGTAGAGTTGGCTGATAAAAAGGAAGTGAAACAGAAATCTTAAAGATTCAAAAGATTTTTTGCAGGAATCAAGAGAATGTTTGATAAGATAACAGAAACCAAGTCAAAAATAAGAGCGTTCCCCGAGTGCTAGCATCTATATCATGAGAAGTGCCTTATTTAGTGGATCCAAGAAAACGATTCTTGCCCGATGTGTCGTCGTAAGTCCAGCTGTGCCCTTAATGATGATTAACTAAGTGATGATGAAGTCGATGATGACTTGGAAGATTTATTATTTGCTGGGCAAAACCAAAACGATAGCCTCTCTGGCTCAAATTCTTCGATCATTGTAAATTAGAGAAGAAGGCGCCCTGCCAGCAATATTTAAGACTTAGAAGGTAGTAACAATGCTGGCAATTATACCTTGAATTGATCAATATGAATTAAAGGCTATTATTAATTAGAATACAAAAGAGAATAATAATAAACCCTAAATAAAGATAAGTAGTATTAATTCATCGAAGAATCCTTGTAAAATAAATAACTAAATTTCATTTTTATACCTCAGGGGTTTTGGGGTTTTGGGGTTTTGGGGTTTTGGGG